AGAGAGAGAGAGAGAGAGAGAGAGAGAGAGAGAGAGAGAGAGAGAGAGAGAGAGAGAGAGAGAGAGAGGAATTCGATCAAAGCGGGAGCTTCGGCGAATCGTAGTCATCTGGCATGGTGACTAAATTTATTGCGTTGACCCTTCGTCTCCTGACTAGCTTTCGTTTTCGGAAATCCCTTTCCTTTTATTAATGAAGCTTTTGCACGGTTGTGTTTTATTTCGTTTTTGGAAATCCTGTTTTCTTTTCCAGTAGACCTTGACTATGGGAGAACCTTTTTTTTTTCTCGTCTGATTCATCCGTACCTGGACATAGCTTTTTAGAAATTCTGTTTTCTTGCATTTCAGAAATTCTGTTTTCTTTTCCAGTAGACCTTGCGTATGGGCGAATCGTTTTTTTCCCGTCTGATATCATCCGTACCTGGACATCGTCTGAGAGCGTTTCTGCGAGGAGACCTGTGAAGGGAAGTGCTCCTATCGCTTAATCAATGAATGGCAATTTAATGCTAATTTAATAGTACTATGTCCTTTTCTGCTGTGCCATAATATAGAATTAAAATTAAATTAAATGACGATGAAATAGTTAAGTGCGATGTAACGTAAATTTATTTGAAGTTCTACTTTGCGAACTCTTGATACCGTTTTTTTTTTTTTTTTTTTTTTTTGATTTGGGAAAGCGAGTTGTTGTAATGTTGGAAATCGATCCGTCTGAATGTACCTGCATTAAAGACAACAGTGGGTGCAGATCATGCACCTGGCCATCTTTAAAGCGCAGGGACAAGTTGTTCGTACTGTGGACTGGACAGTATGAAAACTGGCGTTTAGCGAAGAGAATTGGATTCAGCGCCTGCATCTGGACGTGCTTGTGGAGTTGTGCAGAACATCGCAATTGGCCTGTTGTTCTGCACCTATGCAGAAGACAAATCCAGATTCAGGCGCTTTTTCCAATCCTCTTTGCTAGTTGGACTTGGCCCCTGATCTCGTCTTTAGAAACTTCCTTTTTTTTTTTTTTTTTTTTTTTTTTTGTCTTTAGAAACTTCATTGCCTGTCCATGAGAAACCGCCCATTGACCCAAAAAAAAAGATAAAAAAAGAAGCGGCGGGCTGGACTTCTCAACTAGTACGTTGTTATGGAGATCTAACACAGGTAGGACTTTTCGGAATGTGCCTGAGCAAAATTCTGGCCGGATTCAGTTGAAAGCTAAGGAGTGTGAGTGGGAGCATGTCTTCGACTCTTCGTCCAATGCGGGTTAATTACCTCTTTTTTTATTTCAAATTGTTTTTTCGTCGGGTTTTTCTCGCTCTGCCGGGACCACATACAGCGGGGCCGATGTCCCACTCGCAAAGAGGATACGATCAAGCTCCTGAATCTGGATGTGTTTTACGCAGAGATGCAGTAAAGCAGTTCAATCTCAATTTTCTGCATCTCTCTGCAAACACGTCCAGATTCTGGCATAATGGGGGGCATTCGATCCGATCCTCTTTGCTACTGGGACCACGGTCCGGGGGGGATTCTGCATCTGTACGATTTATGCGGCTAGGTGCATTCCCTCACACCTGATCAATGGGAGCGTGCAACACTCTATTATAGAGCCCGAATGTTCGATATAGTAACTCAGGCAATCCTTCGGGACATCTGTTAAAATTGGAATTATACAGAGAAAATTAGCATGGCCCCTGCACAAAAAAATTAAAAATAAAAATAAAAATAGAAAGAGAGTAAATTACTCACTAAGAATAGTGAACGGGTTTGATTAATCTAAGTGCCTTCGCCTACAGTCTTCCCCCGAATACAACGCACGGTCATTATAGCTGTATTTGAGGCATCTTTCAGTCTAGATACAGCTATAATGACCGTACGTTGTATTCGGGGGAAGACTGTAGGGAGGTGACGAAGGTCGCACTTGGGGAGAGGTTAAACCACTACTGCAGTACTTCTTAAAAAGTCGTGCCCGTTAACAAACCACGATTTTAGGAAACGTACGGGCCAGTGGGCCACTATAGGAGCGTCCAAATTCATCCGACTAGAAACGTCTCTATTTTATTTTTTTTGCACGGGCGATAGCGGGGCCAAGTACTGCTTTCGATTGTGCTTATCATGAGGCATGGTGCGGGTTCAACCTGCAGGCTGAGCCCGATGTACGCAGAGCGACCCTAAATGAACTGGACCCGGTGAGCCGGACTGCCCACCGACAACCTAGCCTAAGACCGAGGCTAAGACCGAGCCTAAAGGTTAAGAGATGACTTTTTTTTTGGAGGGGGGGGTTATTTTTTTTTTTTTTT